CGCCCAAAATTTTCACTCAATATTGTAAGTTTTAATTTCTTTTTACTTTTTGTTTATATCTTTAATTTTGTAATAAATATTGTAATATTCAATAAAAGATGTAACGGTTATGTTTTAAAAACTAATTAATGTGTTATTGTTATATTGGTAATGATAACAAATATGATGTAACCATTACAATATAATATTTAATACCTATTCTTTCAATTGTAAATTCATTTAAAAATCGAGACCTCAAATTACACATAAACAATTATTAGATGAAATATATGTATATATATATAATTGTAGGATATCCAACTTATGCGGATAACCTATTTTTTCCGCTCATTTTGTACATTTTTTTAGTATGTTTCACCTATCATTTTATTTGTATTTTTTTAACTAATATTATAATATTTAATAAAATTGTAACTGTCATGTCATAAAAATTAATATAATTACACTCTTTGTTAATTAGGTAAGTAAAATTGTATTTTTTATATACACATTACAATATTGTAACTATATATATTCTATCTCTGATTTTTCATTTATCTGAACATTTAAATTTTAAATTACTCATGCTTATTTTAATCATTTGAATTAGGAACATATTTTAAGTCAATTATTTGAAGCGAAGTAATATATAGTTTTTTTATTTTCCTTTGGGAAATAAATTTATAAAAATAAATCATAACCATATCAATTTATTTTGTCTTTTTATTTGTAGAGATCTATTATTAATATCAACTTGTGTGGTATATAAGATTTACGTTGTCCATTTTAAATTTATTATTTTGTGCTTTTGTAATACTTTTATGTTTATTATTATAATATAATATTCAAATTATATAAAAATTGGGTTACTCATTATATCATATAATAATAGTCATTAATATATGGTAAATTGTACATTTATATTGTTTTTTTTTTTCTCGGAGTATATAACTCCAACGAAGAGTCTTTAATGTAATTTGATTATAAATGTGATACATACTATTAAGTAAAAAATTGTTTTAATTATGATTTTTATATAAAATATTTATTTATATTTAGTAATCTGTGCATGTGCACAAGATTTATACTAGTAATAATAAATGCACATAACATTAATGTTTATTGTGTTTTTGTCGTTATTTTCGTGTGTTTTGTGTGCTTTATTTTATAGTTTTTAGGCTCATTTTAGTGTCGACCGGTCCATTTTGTCGTTTATCGTATGTTTTTATGCTTTTCTTTTTATTTCATATTTTGGCGTACTTTTTCGTGTTTTTTCGGTAATTAATTTCAGGTGTATTCCGGAGATGGAGAGAGCGAGAGAGAGAGAATCGAGTCACTTGCCGAGATACGAGCATTTCCCGAAAAAGTTGAGTTTTCGAGTAGTTTCAAGCCATTCCGTGCGAGTTGTTGATTGAACCGAGATGTTTGAGCCCTAGTCGATCCCCTACTGAGATGTCACCTAGCCATTGCACACTCTCGAGCCCGCCACTATTTCCTCGAGGTCGAGAGTGCTCCTTTTCTCTACCATTGCACACTCTCGAGCCCGCCACTATTCCCTCGAGGTCGAGAGTGCTCCTTTTCTCTACCATTGCACACTCTCGAGCCCGCCACTATTCCCTCGAGGTCGAGAGTCCTTACCTGCCATCACCATGCACACTCGCGAGCTCGCCGGAAATCTCGCGCGATCGAGAGTGTCGCATCCGTGCATTTCCCTCTCCTCGTGCTCGCGATTTCCATGGCGTGGTCGAGAGTACCTTCATTTAATGTGCGTTTTTTAGTGTGTGTTTGTGTGGAGTATAAAT